TGCCCACGCGATGACCCCGTTCACCGTCACAGGTCAGCGCGCCACTGGTTACCTGAGTTCTCAACTAAAGTATCCTGTTTCTGTGCACCGTGAACTGACTTCAAAACCCCTAGCCCATACCAATAGAAACTATATTAAAACATATTTTCCGACACTCGTATAGGACAATGATAAGTCTTTTGTGACTTAGGTATGACAGACAATTTTAACTACATCTAGTTTTGCCCTAAAAATACAAAATGAATCCTGATCTGGGCCTGAGGAGAGGCAAGAACAACAACACTGCCAAAACCATGTTTGGTTTCAGGAATCACAGATTTTAAAAAACTTGCAAAGCAAAACTTATTAATAAAACCTTTATAGTTAGGCTCACGGCAGAGCAAAAAGTGACAATAGAAGAGAGCGTGTACTGAGACCCGGAGCTGGAAGGACTATGAGAGCGTGGGATGTAGTGATACTGAAAACCAGGCAATCAGTGAATCACTGCACCATGGACTGAAGCATTGATTTTTTTCAAAATGTTAAATCACAGTACTAGTTTTTAATCAGCAACAAGCCATCTTGATGCCTAGACGTCCAACATAGAGGTTTTCGAGGATTGAAAATGGCATTTCCTCATTGCCATTATTCAATTTGTCATCACTGATAAATCCGACAAATCGGGGAACACCAACCTTGAAGATACAATCATCAAGCCTGTACTCTAATGTTCCCTCATTTACGCACTCCATCGTCGAATGTCAAAACCACTTCCACCTATAGCTTTTATTTTAGCATCAGTTTCTTGCACCGCGACCGTATCCTACTGCCGTAGACTTAATTGCATCAAATGCCTCCCCTCAATTCCGAAGATCTGCAATTTTAATGCTCCTACTTTGAATGAACTTTGATTACCCCAACAACCACCGGCTGGTCCCTTACTCATGCCACACTCACACGATGCAAACTCGCACAGGTTCACTGACTAGTCACGATGACGGGCCCGGCAATCTAGAAATTGGAGGATGCTTGTTTTCTTTTTCTTCCTTTTTTTTGTCATTATAGTGACATCAGTGAGAATATAGATTTAATTTGTATGGCGACACTGTGTTTTTTATGAATAAACTGCATGTTACAATTTTTTATTAACTGTAAATCTAACGTTAACAAACTACCATCAGACAATTCTGAGCGGTAACGAAAGTGAAAGTAGATTTTGATTTCTCTCTACATTCACAATTCTGTTTTCTAGATAAATGAACTAAATGCACAGACTTTCCAGCCACAGCAAAAACCCGAAGATAGACAGAAAGAATGAATGAATAAAAGGAAGGAAGAAGATTATCTATCGAGAGTCGACAGATTTTAGCCGATATGCATGTGAAAAACTATTGCCGACCGAACGGCAGAGATAGACAATGGTCGAGTGCACGAAAGGCACAATCTGGCAGTTTCCAATACTACTTACTTATTCCTGAGAGTTGCCGTAAATATCTGACAAGTTACAGAGGCAAGTGCGGATCTCTCTCTCTCTCTCTCTCTCTCTCTCTCTCTCTCAGTCTCTCTCTCTCTCTCTCTCTCTCTCTCTCTCTCTCTCTCTCTCTCTCTCTCTCTCTCTCTCTCTCTCTCTCTCTCTTTACAGAGGCAAGTGCGGATATCTATCTCTCTCTCTCTCTCGGAACTTTCGCAACGTACGAATTTACGCAAAAACAAAGAAGATTGGAAACACTGAAGAATCTTTTTTTTCTTTCGGCACCCATCACAAATCAGGTAGTTCACTGAAGCACCTTTTTTTTTTTCTTTTTCTTCTTTCGGCACCCATCACAAATCAGGTAGATTTAGGCAGCCCTGCCATCTGTGTCTAACAAAACTGTTACTATTTCCTAACGTACTTCATAGCAATTAAATGGTCTTACAGTACCACAAGTACAATCAAACTTCAACAAAAAATGTATAATACTGAGCACTCAGCTGAAAACATGTGCATCTCTTACTTGTTTGGGAAAGCCTTCACAGCAAATTCCAAATACATTGCACTTCCTTGGCACCAGGAAATAAATGGGACCAGGTTGCAGGGGTTTGAGGGATAATGCACTTTCTGTGCAAAATCAAAGGAATAGTGCATCCACTCTACCCCTTGAACAGGTCTCAAACCTTGTAGGACATGCTGGGAGACAACAGCCTTGGCCTTTGCCACCTCTTCCCGGTACTTGGCACGCCCAGCCTGAACCAGCTGGAGGAGGCCACACTGAATTTCCAGGGCCTCCAATTTAGAATCTGAAGCAGAAAAAGAAAGAATTGCTGTATCTGGCGAAGGAAAATAATGAGAGAATTTGTTGAAAAAAGGCTTAAAGATTTAATTACATTGAAATGGAAAAACGAAAATAGAAATTCACCTTCATTGATCCCAGCAAGGAAATTTTAGAGTACAATGGCATGAGAAACATAATACACAAACATTCATACAACAATGTACATTATATACTCATGATAGTACAATACTATTACATTACATCCTTTTACTCGCACTATACAATTACACAAACACCATTTCTGGTCACCACTGAGCAGCACCCGTGGGAGCTAGGGTTATTCTCTTGTTCAAAGACACAACTCAATGGTCCTCCTTTTTTTTAGCATAGTGATTGTCCATAATTGATGTGAAACAAAATAGTCCTTTCAGTTTTACAATGATAATATAATTTTACCCTGGATAACAAGAAATTAAACCATTTTCATGAAATAATATTTCTATGTTTACTTGATAAATAGGAAAGATCAAGTGAAATAAGAGCTGTCATATTATGATACCTATGTTCATGTAAGTTCACGGATCTCTGGACCAACGTGTTGTTTTTATGACAAGTGAAGCACAAGTCAGTCATTGGCTTACACACCAAAATGTACATAATATAGCCCGTGTACTTTCCACATTCTCCGGAACATTGTATGTTCTATTGACCTAAAACCTCTAAATTAATAGAAATAAGGGGGAAAATTAAAAGGAGAGAAAAAAAAATAATGCATCAGTTTTTGACCAAATCTCAAGCTATGCAAATACACGTATTTTGCATAAATAATGATCAAAGGTACAAGAGGACAGAAAAAGTGAAATGTGAGTAAGCCATAAAAAGTAAAAAGCAAGTAAATAATGAATAAAATCTTTTGCTATCAATAGTCGGGTATCTATTCTCACTTGAGTAAAGAAAAGAAATTTCAACAGGCCTAGGTCTTGACCACCAAACCTGTAACCTCATGATATCCAGCCAGGTAGGCTTACACTATACTGCCAACACCAAAAATGTATATACAGTCGAACCTGTGTAAGACTACCTCCCATTGTCAAGGTAGAAAAGCGGCCGTATAAGACAGGTGGCCATCTTAGGCAGGACTGATCAAGATAAGAAAACAAACCCTTCCTTTCTGAGGTCGCCGCATTGTTGTTGTTGTTGTTGTTATAGTTGTTGTTGTTGTTGCTTTCGCTGGGTTTTTTCCGTCTTTTTTTTTTACTTTGTTGCTGCTTTTGTGCAAGGGTGACAATAAAACGAAATGTGTCAGACAAGGAGGACTGAGTGCTAGGGTAAGACAAACACATGGGTCGCCACCACTCGGAGAACGATCGACGCTTCTGTCACAAGTTCATGTTGACGTCCTTTGTTACTTTGTTACAGACTGGGTAAACAGTGACCACTCATCTCACTTACGATTTGTGTACGAGTTGTGGGAGGGGCTTATGGGTTATGAGAGATCACACGCTTACCTCACCAGCAGCTGAAAATTTGTTACCTATTGGTCAACAGTGGGAGGGGCCAACGCAACATGATCGGTTGAAGGGACTATTTAACCACCAACGACAGGTGATTGGATTATGACAGTTCGCCTACAACGTCAGGGGCCAATGCATAATTTATGACAAAACGTAATGGAGTCACTAAGGTGGCCATATAAGACAGGGGTTACCGTTTGGAGTGATAAGGTTTGTGTGTTAAAATATGGTGGCCGCGGCCGCGTTGGACAAGTGTCCGTTTTACACAGTTAAATTACAGTCGAACCTGCCCTGACGGCCACCTCTATAAGACGGCCACTTTCCATTTCCCCCCCTTGCATTTTTTCTATATAATTTAACTGTGTAAAACGGCCACCTGTCCGACACGGCCGCGGCCACCATATTTTAACACACAACCCCTATCACACTAAGCAATAACACCCATCTAAGACGGCCACCTTAGTGACTCCATTACGTTTTGTCATAAATTGTGCATTGGCCCCAGGCGTTGTCGGCGAGCCATCATAATCCAATCACTTGTCGTTGTTGTTAGGTAGTCCCTCCAACCGATCATGTTGCGTAGATCTGTTGACCAATAGGTAGGCTACCAATTTTCAGCTGCTGGTTAGGTTAGCGTGTGATCCCTCATTACCCATAAGCCCTGCCCAGAACTCATACGCAAATCGTAAGTGAGATGAGTGGTCACTGTTTACCCAGTCCGTAAGAAAGTAACAATGGACGTCAACATGAACTTGTGACAGAAGCGTCGCTCGTTCTCTGAGTGGTGGCGACCCATGTGTTTGTTTGAACACGGCACTCGGTCTACCTCGTACATTTCGTTTTATAGTCACCTTTGCGCAAAATCAGCAACAAAATAGAAATAACATACAAAATACAAATCAACAACAACGAAAACAAAAACAATCGATTGAGACTTCAGAAGAGAATGGTTTGTTTTCTTCATCTTGATCAGTCCTGCCTAAGATGGCCACCTGTCTTATAAGGCCACTTTTCTCCTTGACAATGGTTGGCCGTCTTACACAGGGTTGACTGTATATAGAAAAAACGCAAGGGGGGAAATGGAAAGTGGCTTTTGGTACAGGTGACCGTCTCATAGAGGTGGCCGTCATGGCAGGTTCGACTGTAATTTAATGGATGTTTTTGAAAAAAAATGTTAAGAATTCTGCCACTTACCAGCTTGTTTGGTGTCATTATAATATTCTCCTCAAACACTCTTGTAGGTCATGGAGGAAGGAAGGAGATGGACATTCCAGTTTTTGAATCCTGGCATCCTCCCTGGTAGGCCAAGGGCATGCTGCTCAGCACAGGTGTGGAGAAACTTGAGGGCCCTCGAGGTGTCTTCCGCAGTGAAGGCCAGCTTTGTGCGTCCTCCCCTTGTCTTTGTGCGAGGTTCTCTCCCATGTGCCAGAAAATGGCGTTTCAAAGCAGTGAGTTTATCAGTGCTTACCCTGTTAAAAAAAAGCAGAAACATTGGAATTATAAGGGCATACAAAAGTAGCTCGCTCTTTATCAAAGAGACATTAAAATTAGTCACTGGTTCAACTGCTACTGCTAAGGATATCATGTAAATGGTACATTATTTTTTTTTCTCCAAATTTATTACATGCATGATGCAGTAATTTATCAAAGACACTTTTAGGGAGGGTGTGGTAACTGTTTTGCTTCACGATTTATAGTAACAGGACTTGCAACACAGTAGGAATAAGTGCCCTGAACTACATGAGAAAATAAGACAGGTAGCAAAGGACGAAAGTAGAGTGACAGAAGAAGCAAATCACACTAGAGCGCCCACCAACCGCCAGCTCAGAGGAAGCTAAAATGCTAATGTGTCTGTACATTTCCACATTATAATAAAACTCATTGCCAAAAATACAAGTAAAAAATTTTTTTTTAAACTAACCCTAGAAGGAACTTGAATGCCTCTCCGTACACAATCCTGCTGTCTATTTGGTACTCCACGAACCGTGTCCTCTTCCGCTCTATTTGGAGTTTTTGTTTAGGTCGCTGTGTTGCTTTCCCCAGATGCAGAGTCAATGCCGAGAAGACGCAAGTATGATCAAATCTTTTTTGTCTGTGGATGAAATTAAAATTAATTGAGTTGACAATCATAGCAAAATGACAAAATGAATTCAAGGTGAATGAAATTATTATAATTCTCTAAACAACGTGGCTTCAATAATGAGAAAAGATTAGGTTGATCTTTTAGTCCACTCCCCCACCCACACACACAAGGTTCCAAACACATACATGTCATGATGTCCATAACTTGTGGTCACTTCATGCCTGCGATTAAAAATAGTAACAACACAGGCACCCAACACATGCTGTACACATCGAAATCTTATAAAAAGGATAACTAGATCTAGACGTTTTTCTGACTCCTCCAGAGACACCTAGATCTAGATCTACTTATCAGTAACCACCCGTGTTCATACAAGCAAAATAAATTCCTGTCATGAACTAAGGTGTTCAGGTGCTAAGTAGATCTATAGGCCTACGTATCATAAATGAAAAAGTATTTTTAACATCACTACATACCTCCACTCAAACTGCTCATTTGCATCCTTTTGTAAAAAAAAAACCTCGTCTGGAGAATTGGCAGATGCAGTCACGAGGGTCTTGTGAATTTGATGTCTTCACTGTGGACGACAAACAACATTTTAAGGAATCAATTTTCACAAACTCCAGGTCAGCAGCTTCACATAATATGTTCTGCTCTCATCAACAACTGATACAGAAGTTTGCTCAGCCACGTCCTCCTTCGCGCCGTTTGCCTCATGACCAGAGCTTGTTGATGAATACGGCTCCTCAGACGTTGACGAGTGAGTTCGTCGAGTTGAACAGCAGCACTCTCCCCCTCAAAATCCTTTTTCTTCCCTCATCATCGTCAACTTCCAAACTCCAGGCAAAGAAATCACTGAGCATATCTACAGTGTCATCACTAACAGGAATTTTACAATCCTTTGCTAAATTCAAAGCACGAGCAACTGTGGCAGCATGCTAGCACCCATCGTAATCAGGCCTAGATTTAGATCTAGATAATGTACGACAAAAACTAAAAACAATAACAATAATAACACTTGCACACACACATAGAATGTAGAAGTTCAGATCTCGCTGAAAAAAGCACAGATTTGATCTAGAGGAAGATCAATTACACTTAAAAAATCACTAAACCACAAAAAAAACGTACTAAAGTCAATCCAAGTGAAAATCTGTAAGACCAATAGCTGCAACAGACGACAACACAGCTGGCAGGACACGCCAACACAGTCAACGTAAACAAGCTTGAAGTGGGCTAGGAGTTACTGTTCTTCCCATGTTGTACCAAACAGAGTTGAGCATATAGACACCAAGTTGTTTACAAGACGACCAATTACGACCATTCATGCTTGAAAAGGGGGTCAAAATCTAAAAAATTTGGGCGAAGTAATGACACTAAAGCAAGGTGGCCTTGAGTAATGTAATGACTCTATAAATAATCTCACAGCTACACACCAGCAGGTTAATTGTTCTAAAGTGTTTCGACTCATTTTGAGGTCCGAATTCCTTAACCTCGTCATGTTAGCTCACATCTAACCACACACACCTCCAAAACAATTCAAAATAAAATAATTATAGTTGATTATAGTTGTGTATTTAGATCCAAAATGAAGCAGAACACATATCAAAACTATCAAAAGAACAACAACAAAATTGCATAGAAAGTCACATTTTTGCTTTCGAGCATCGTACCTTATAATAGCACACTGCGTTTTATGACTGATAATGACCGGGGCAGACACATTTTTTAGCAATGACCACGAAAAACCTTTTTTTGCAAAAAGTGTTTGCAAATAGATGGGTGCATTTTGTAGCTTTATATTCACTGAGCATGGAACTTTTTGAATTTTAAAAATCCATCAATAAACAAAAAAGTTACAGATTTTTTAATCAATTAATTTCTGGTACACTTTTATATAATGAAAAAACCGCAAAATATGGGACGTTCTTTGGTGAGTTTTGAGACAATATTCGTCATAACTCACTCATTTCTCGGAGTATTTAAAAGAAACTTGGCAACCCAGTACATTTTCTAGTGCAGAATCTAGTCCTGCTTTCAGATTTTTTGAGTTATGAAGACGTTTACAGGTAAAAATGTGGCGGTTTTCAGTGCGTTTTGAAACAATGTTTGTCATAGCTCGCCTATTTCTTGGAATATGTAAATGAAACTTGGCAGTCTAGTACATTTTTTAATGAAGAATCTAGTCATGCAGTCAGATTTTTAATATCTGTCATACTTTTTTAATTGTAAAGACATTAACAGGTAAAAAAGTGACGTTCTTTACAGATTTACAAAGATTATCAGTCATATGTTCTCCCAAAGTCATGATATTTGAATGAAACTTGGCAACATAAAAGGTTCTTCCTTGCCAAGCAATGCTCTGGATCAATTTGTCAAAAAAATGTAAGTAGAGAGCTGGATTTATTAGTCTAATTAATCCAGTTCTGTACTAGTAAAAGCATGCATACTTTGTTTTAGAAAATAAGATCGTCTCAGTGTATATTCCATTGTTGGACAGTGTCCTATTGTGTGGTAGATTAAGATGCGTTCAGACAATATAGTTTACAAGTCATGGGAATATTTGGCATGTGTAGGCTACAACTCATACAATAAATGTAACATATTTACACCCCCCCCTTCTCTCTCTCTCTCTCTCTCTCTCTCTCTCTCTCTCTCTCTCTCTCTCTCTCTCTCTCTCTCTCTCTCTCTCTCTCTCTCTCACGCGCACGCACACACACACACACACACACACATGCACGCGCGCGCACTCACGCACGCACGCGTGAACGATAACAATGTATAAACGGGACTATCTTCCCAGACTGGACTAAATAAGTACCATACTCTTTAATAACAATCTTAATGCCTCACTTTTCCAAACAGAGCACACAGGACGAGTCCAAGTGTGTGCTTTCCCAAGAGGGGGGAATAGGCTTTCATAACGCAAACACAATGCCATACCACTTCTCAAGATGTTTGCTTTTCTGTTTCTATTCTTCTGTCATGCAATCAAGCAAATAATAATGACTACATCTATTGTATTGTGACTAAAATGCAACAAAAACGCAAGTTATCAAGGCCCCCGTTTAGTTTTCAAGTATCCTTCCCCTCCTTTCTGGTTCACATAAGCGGGGTCTCGTTTATAGCGCCCGAGGCGACCGATGGCTGATGACGTCACTCAGTGGAAATTTCCCAGCAGCAGGGCATTCACCCAGTATGCGCAAATGGCAATGTCGCTTTTTCCCTTAGTTACTCCCACATTTTTAAAGATTACGCCAAAACCGCTAAACACAAAAGCTTGAAATTTTAAGGGAATAAAGAAAAATGGTGTACAACGTATCAGTCAGTTTGACAAATCACAGCTCCGAAAAATCTTCAAAGCGCACCACATCAACCACTTTCGCAAACGTTTTCGACTGCTTCTAGGATGGGTACATGTCAAACAAGAACAAGAACTACGAGATTGACCTCTTTTCTGATTGGCTGCCAAGTTTCATTCATATCCATTCATGAGAAGCGGAGTGAGAGCGAGTTGAAGACAACAACCTTTGCGTTAGTGCGTCCCACGAACGGGGGCCAAAAATCGGCAGAACAAAACGCGATCGGTGGGCATTGCTACATTTTTATTTACCCTCTTTAGATTAACATCAAAGAAAAGTGTCGGAACCTTAGTTTGCAGTGACCTTTTTTAGACCCATATGCCAAGATCTGAGAAGATTATACAGAATTATTTCGTTTCATCTTGTTTTAACCGCAGTCAGACGAAAGTGAACAAGCTATAACTACAAGAAATACACTTGCATAAAAGAAACTGAGTTTCAAAGTTGGAATTTCATTCAACCCACTGAAAAACTTCACCAAACACCCCACTTAAGCACACATGTCTATTGCACATGTCTATTGACTATCCATTCACCCTTTACATTCATGAGTGTAGTACTGTGTTGGCTACCCAGTTCAAACCTCTCCACACAGTCTGCTCCTATTTCAGCATGACATGTTAACAGTCTAGCACGTACATAGCCAATAGATTTTCAGGTTTGGCATACTTTTTTAAACATTTGTTTCTTTGTACTCAATACATGTACAAAGCAAAATTTATAGATAAAAGATTTCGACATCCCGTCAATTTCGCTATGTGCTTGCTAGACTGTATATTGTATTTTGAACTGTGTGTTCACCCTTGCGCCACGATGAGACCCAGTACTTCCAACTTCTGCAATGGGAGGGGATGGGGATGTGGAACTGTGGCAGCCTCTGCTGGAAATCCAGCCCAGGCCAGTCTTGGCTTAGATCTGCTCAGTGGCCACTGCCTCCTGTTCATGGCGGGCTCTCCAGTGACTCGTCCCCACATGATAGTCCAATGTGCCCTGCCGTCCTCTGGCAGGATGCCTGTTTTGAGGTCAACATTTTGCACAGGAAATAGAAAGAACTGTCCAAGCAATCAAAAATAAAAACACTTCACCATGTCATGCATTTAACACACAAAAGAAACAATGATACCTAAAACTAAGCCTGGTCCTTACAATTGTCTAAAACTGAACATTTGTTCATGTTGAAACTTCTCTCCTGGGAAGTGCAATACCAATTTCATTTCTGCATCTGTACTTTGGACAAAATTATGTCTTTCAAAACGTTAAAAATTCTGTCTTATTGTCATATCAATGCCAAGTACTTTGAGAGACACTGTGAGAGTCCTTGCAACCCCTTTCTATTCTCTAATGTGTGCTCTCCTTCCCATAATTCACCAACAAAAAGCTGTTTTGACAGTCTTCAGTCTGACATTCAGACCATTTGGCTAGAGCTTTCAGAAGCTTTACTCGAAAGCCTCGAACATCCTAGAACTTCTGAGTCCAGAATTTTGTCCTCAGATTGGAAGTGCAGGAGTCTGTACTGACAACTCATGTGATCGTGATTGAGTAGTTCAGCATGGCGCTTGTTGATGGTCTAGATCGGAGGTTCTATAACTGGGGTGGGTAAACCCGCAGTGGGTTGGCAGGTTCATCCAATGGGGTTCTTGAAATGTTTTTGTTAGTCAAAATTAGAGCACATTTTGTTGACAAAACAACTTGGGGAGGAAAAACAAGAGCATTCGTACAACCATGTGCGATGGGTTTGATGCATGTCACAATTCGTGATCCGATCTTGAAGTTTAAAAAAACATACATTTATTCATCTATTGTTATCGTTTCCATATCACACCATAGACTTGATCTTTTATGGAGCCCTGTTCATATTACAGAATGTGAAATCAGTGGCAGAATGGTTAGGCTCTCGGACTCAAACCATAGGGTTTTGGTTCAAATCCTGTCAGAGTCCAACATTGTATCCTTGAAAAAGGCATATTACATGAATTTTCCTGACTTCACACAGGTGGAAATGGGTACCGAATATAGACAGGGAAAGATCTTGTCAGTTTGGTTAGTGTTTTTGCTCTTAAAAATCAGCAGCTTGCACTGTATGTTTCCCAGGAAGCCAAAAATGTTTCCGAGGGCAATAGGGTCTACAGGGGCAATAATATAGGGTAAGGGGCATAGAAGTTGCTGTTGAGCGGGGATATGTGCTAAAAACAAAAAGCCATTCTTTATCATTATAAGTTATAAATTTGGGTTCAGATTGTGTTTTGAAGAGTAGAGGGTTTGTGGAGTTCTCAGACATCAACAGTAGGTTTGTGGAGGATAGGAAAACACTGGTCTAGCCCTTGATGACATGAAGGAGAACGATATAGATCACTGAACTGCAGACCATCAGCTTTTTCCCTTTGTGTTCCCAATTGTTCTATCCTGAATTGTTTGTCACTTACTCCTTCGCTTGGAGACCGTATTCCTTCCACAAAAAGAAGAAGCCCTACACTAGGAGACCTCACACTATCCTCTTTCTTCGTTTCCTCCTTCACTCACTGGCCCTGTCCCTTCCATACATTCTTCCGCTCCTATAGGATAGGACCATATCAACGCCGACACCGACAGTCAGACCAGACCCGCCGTTTTCCGTCGGGTGCGGCCAACCACATTAACACCGGAGTTTGGCGGTCAGACACAGCCGTCTTGCAAATATGGCGTGTGGTAGAAGAAAAAAATTGTTGCTATTGTTGCTTTTGAGACGCAGAAAAAAAAATGATAACCAAGACTAGAAGACTTTCTGTGCATTCCATACAAAGAGAGCGAGATACACTAGGTGAATTTCATCATTTGTTTCCGCAGTTGTTGGAGGATTGTGAAAAATTCCAACAATACTATCGCATGAAACACAGCAGTTTCAATGAACTGCTAGAGATATGCAGAGCTGACCAAGAACTGCTAGAATTCTGTGTTGTGTCATTGAGGCGGGAAAGGGGACACAACTATGCAGAGATAACATCATTAAAATTACCTCCCATCTCGCCCGACGGACCGTCTTCAATAGAACATGTTTTATCGGAGACGGTCTGACCGGAGACGACGCAGGATGTCGGGCGTCAGTATGGTAGCCGAAACCGTTTCTGTTACCTTTCATTACTAAAGAGCCGGTGCGCATTCTTTTGTGCCCGAAGACGGTCTGGTCTGACCGTCCGTGTCCGGCGTTAATATGGTTGTGGCCTTACTCACTGAAAATTCTACTGTCCTTTCTTCCAATCTCCTCCTTTTTCCAAATGGCTCTCCTCCATCAGATCCCACCCTCTTTGCACCAATTTCCCTTCCTTCAAACCCTGTATCCTCTTGACTGGACTCGGGTGTTGGCCTCCAATATCCTCTCAGTAGATCATACACCTTTAAAACTCGTTCGACCCCGAACCAGACATCCACTCTTCACCCTAATCGACCCAAAAACTCCTTGTACCA